GCCTAGACACATGAAGGAGTTAATTTTATTAACATATATCAAATCAAGCTAAATGAACTACTGTAACCCCAATATAGTTTACAATCGAGAAAAATCCATTTCCCAAAAAACAAAAAAATTGTCAACATTAATTGTTGTCATCCCTAAGAAATCTACTTGCTTGCATTCTCTTCCAATCTTATGTTACAGCTCTTAAGGAGAAGAGGAGGCAGAGCAAGATCTCAACAAGGAATGAGCCTGAAGCACATCAGAGACTGAAACGATGCTGGAAAGCACAGGGAACAGACACATGGTCAGGACTCCACTGTGATAGACAAAGAAACCTCTTAAGGGCACAAGAGCACTGTGCAGAATTTACTGAGAAAAAGGAAGTTCATGAGCTGATGGAAATCAAGACTGGAATAAAGGACCCAGCTTTCAAGGACTTGAGAAGAGCTAACGTTGGCCCCTTCAGGGACCTTCTTGGAAGAATCCCATGAGATTGGGCCCTAGAAGGAAGAGGGGTCCAAGAGAACTGGTTAATATTCAAGAATCACTTCCTCCAAGCTTAAGAACTGTGCATCCCTATGAGCAAGAAGTCCAGCAAAGTGGGCAGGAGACCTGCATGGATGAATAAGGAGCTCCTGGTAAAACTCAAACATAACCAGGAAGCATACAGGAGGTGGAAGCAGGGACAGATAGACCACTTGAAAGGAATATAGAAACATTGTTAGAATATGCAGGGATGCAACGAGCAAGGCCAATGCCCATTTGGAATTAAATCTGGCAAGAGATGTCAAGGACAACAAGAAGGGCTTCTTCAAATACATCAGTAGCAAAAGGAAGACTAGGGAAAATGTGGGGCCGCTACCGAATGGGGTGGGGGCCCTGATGACAGAGGACACAGAGAAGGCAGATATACTGAATGCCTTCTTTGCTTCAGCCTTCTCTGCTCAGACCAGCCCTCAGGAATCCCGGAGACCGGGGAGAAAGCCTGGAGAAAGGAAGACTTTCCCTTAGTCAAGGAGGATCAGCTTAGAGATCATTTAGGCAAACCTGACACCCACAAGTCCATGGGCCCTGATGGGATGCAAACACAAGTGCTGAGGGAGCTGGTGGATGTCATTACTGGGCCACTCAATCCTTTTTGAAAGGACGTGGAGAACAGGAGAGGTGCCTGAGGACTGGAAGAAAGCAGACATCCCCCAGCCTTCAAAAAGGGCAAGAAGGAGGAGCCAGGAAACTACAGGCCTGTCAGCCTCCCCTCCATCCCGGGAAAGGTGATGGAACAGCTCCTCCTGGAGGCCGTCTCTAAGGCATGTGAAGGGTAAGGCAGTGATCAGTAGTCAGCATGGATTCACAAAGGGGAAATCACGTGTAACCAGTCTGATAGCCTTCTGTGGTGGAATGACTGGCTGGGCAGATGAGGGGAGAGCAGTGGATGTTGTCTCCCTGGACTTCAGCAAGGCTTTTGACACTGTCTCCCATCACATCCGCACAGGCAAGCTCAGGAAGCATGGGTTAGATGAGTGGACAAGGAGGTGGACTGAGAACTGGCTGAATGGCAGACTGCAGAGGGCTGCGGTCAGTGGCACAAAGTCTCGCTGGAGGCCTGTAGCTAGCAGTGTCCCCCAGGGGCCAGTACTGGGAACAGTGTCATTCAACTTACTCATGAATGACCTGGATGAAGGGACACAATGCCTCCTCAGCAAGTCTGCTGATGATACAAAACTGGGAGGAGTGGCAGATACCCCAGAGGGCTGTGCTGCCATTCTGAGGGACCTGGACAGGCTGGAGAAACGGGCAGAGAGGAACCTCCTGAAGTTCAACAAAGGCAAGTGCAGGGTCCTGCACCTGGGGAGGAACAGCCCCATGCCCCAATACAGGCTGGGGGCTGACCTGCCGGAAAGCGGCTCTGCAGAGAAGGACCTGGGAATCCCGGTGGACAACAAGTTGACCGTGAGCCAGCAACGTGCCCTTGTGGCCAAGAAGGCCAACGGTCTCCTGGGGTGCATTAGGCAGAGTGTTGCCAGCAGGTGGAGGGAGGTGATCCTGCCCCTCTCGTCAGCCCTGGGGAGGCCTCGCCTGGAGTACTGTGTCCAGTTGTGGGCAGGACTGGAGCATCTCTCCTAGGAGGAAAGGCTGAGAGAGCTGGACCTGTTCAGCCTAGAAAAGGGAAGACTGTGGGGGGATCTGATCAGTGTGTCCAAGTATCTGAAGGGAGGGTGTCGAGAGGGTGGGGCCAGACTCTTCTCCGTGGTGCCCAGCAATAGGACGAGAGGCAACAGGCACAAACTGAAACACAGGAAGCTCCGTCTGAACATGAGGAAAAACTGCTCTATTGTGAGGGTGACTGCAGTAGTGTTTCTAGGTAATTTTTGCTTTTAAACAAATCTGCCGAGTTTGCTTGCTAGAAGAAAGAGTCCAAATATTTTTCTCCATCTGTGTTCCCCAAACTTCTTGCTTAGATTACTGACGCAGCCAAAATAGGCATTTATCTACACTAAATGTGTTGGTATTATTTCATTTTCTCCATTCCCCCCAAGGTTTAAAACAAAAATTTTAAAATAGATATCATTCTAGATAAACATTTCCTAGAACCAAATAAAGCTTGGACTTAAAAAGGGAACAAGTTTTCCATGTGTTGTTCTGGGTCCGATTAAACTGGAAAGCTATGTATTTATAAGCATTACCAGTTAGAATTTAGTTTATAAAAAATAGAACAAGGCATATAAAATCAAAATTTGATTTTCTTTCTCAGGTATCACAGCCAAATTGCTAAATACTTAATGACTACATGGTGAATATCGACTATTTTCATTATTATGGAAAACCTAGTCACAGTAAAAATTACTGCTCAAGTGTTGTGCATGTAAAGCATGAACTGAAATACTTTGTTATAGGAATGAACCTAAGACAAGACTTAAACATTCATAGCATATACATTGAACAAATAAGAATTATTCTAAGATTTTATAAATTAATCATGTACTAAATTTAATTACAAGCTCATTATAAAATTTAAAACTTCAGTTATCATTAATGAACCCTATAGGAAAATAGCAGGCTCTTCATACTACTTACACACTTAAAATTTCTATATATTGGCTGGCTTTGAAGAAAATATATTTTTAGGGTTAAAAGTCACTTTTGCCATTCATTTTTTCTAAATAAAAGTTGAGTATTTTTGCTTTTTTCTCAATAGAAGAATAAATCCTGTCATTCCAATGAGATTAAGAAAAAAGCTGTGCTAACTCATTGTGGTGGTATTTGTCAGAAAAGGGGACATGTATTGTCAAGATGTCCAAATATCTCTTTGTAGCACTCTGAAGATGGAAGATAATGAAAACATAATAATGCACCTTTAAAAGTGTGTTTAACTTAAACCAGGAATAAGACATTGCCATGCATACTTCATAATTTTAGTGTTATTACTTGGTAATAAAAATAGCTACTACAAATTAACAGTAAGGTTGTTCTAGGTATCTTAATGGTGTATTTCCATACCTTAATAGGTTTTGGTAAAAATGTTTCTGTAACTGTGGTGACCAAAGAATATGAGAGGGGCAAGGATTTCAGCAGAGACAGCATCTTTTATCAGATAAGCTTTCAGGCAGACAAGTCCTCCTTTAGGTTTGCTGTTTCTGTTCTATAATTAAAGGGCTTATCTGACAAAAATTTGTCTTCCTCCTCCCTCAACTCTTACCAGCTGATCTAATAAAAGATATCCTTTGCTTATAAACCATGTGTCTTCTAATATACAGGTTTTCTTTTAAAGGTAACCTTAACTCATTAAATTTATAATGCTTGCTGTTTTGAGACATGTAATTTTTTTCCTTATATTACTGAGTTCCTCTTTGCCCATTTCTAAGAGAACTTGAACACCAAAGTCTCAGGCATTCTGAAACTTTTAGACTATATTAAAAACTGAAGCTAAGCCTGACAGGAAAAACTCAAAGATAAAAATATGCAATACTTGTTACATAATGGAAATTACATAAATCTCCATTAAATAAATTGTAGACTATTAAGGAAAAAGCATGCTGTAAACTCATTCATATTGAGACAAGGAGAAGATTGCAGCCAGACATTTATTCCTTAGAGTATCCCGGATAAAATCTATCAGCAGCTTTCTCAAAGCTTTCTCATGGCGTCATGAGTCTTGGAATGCCCAGGAGATACAGGCTTTTAGATCATTAATGAGAAAGAAATCTTCTGAATGGGGTCTCAACTGCATAAATTGGAATTCAACTCAAGGACTGATATTTTCCAAAGTCTGAATGCACAGCACTATAATGTGGCATCATGTTATACAGGAGTCGCTATTTACTCCATGTTCCCCATTTTTTTTATCTTTCAATTTTTTCCCTTTTCATTGTTTTCCCACTGTACGTTTGTTCAGTTTTCCTAAAGGTAGTTGTAGTTCTAGGATGTTCTTGTCAGCACGAAAAACCACATTGGAGCTCTACAGATACGCACTATAGGGGAGAATGAAATAAGAAATCAAGACATTAAGCATTCATATCCATTTTTCTTTTCTACAGCATCCTATACTGATATTTATCTAAACAGATCTCATGCAGGTTGAGGCCAAAACTTGCTAAGCAGATGGTTTTGCATCTACTGTAGAATCATTGCCAAGGACTAGAAGAAAGATGCACTGAACACTTTTCAGTTGTTACCTACCAGGAGTGTTATTTTTTGGATATTATTGATCCATTAAAAAATTGCCCCAAAATACTTCAAACCTCCACATTGTTCCTTGTAGAAATCTTAGCAGGTCAATTACTAATGAAATTTGCTTCCAAGCATAGACTTTCAAAATCTAAGACATATTCTGTGGTCAGACGGAGCAAAGCTAAACATATTCACTGGCAACTCAGAAAGAGTTCAAATGCTCATATATGCAAATACCATGCAAAGCTCTTAAGCTGTTCCAATATTCTTCTCTAGTTTTTAGGCTTCCCTGACTGGATTCAGTATTTACTTCAGTAGAGCACCACAGGGCTTAAGAAACTTACTGCAATGGACCTCATCACTCCAGTCATCACAGTCATTGTAGCCATTACATTGCAGTTTCCCTGGGATGCAGATCCCACTAGCACACAAGAAACTCTCCTCTCCTCCACACAGTGCTGGCAAAGAAGAGAAAAAATACATATGTTAAGCTGTTCAGGGTGAAAATAAATAAAAGGAAATGAAAGATACTTTGAACAAAGAGTCTTAATTGACGCATTTAAAAAACAAACCCCAAAGTAATCAAATTCAGGCACATTCAGGGTGGCATTTTTACCTAGCTTTGGTTATTTAAAAATTAAGAATTTAGATTGAGTTAGTCAGTGAGGTTCCATATACCACTAGAGGAAAGAGGAAGCACCTCTGCAGGGTAACTCTTAAAACAATGACCTTAGAATGGGATTAAATATGCTTCTTCTTTCCATTGAATAGATACTTGGGATTAAATATCCAATTGAAATTACAATAAATGAATCTTCCCAACCTACGTGTTCAGGCACAAGACCACAAGGTTGAGATTGAATAGAGTCTTAACACAGGCATTTTCCACAATGAAAATATTCCCCAAACATTTTTATAACTCCCTGAACATTAGAAAAATAATTTTCTGATTGCTTCATTATTGCTATTCTATGTATTGGGAACTGAGATACCTAGAGAGACACACAAAAAAAAAAAAGCCCTAGGGCTTTGGATATCCCACTGGAGATGCCTTGCAGGGCCATGATGTTCAGAGGGAGAGGACTCAAAACCTTCTATAGCTCAAGTCCTTCAAGACGCTTAAAAATAGGGAGATACAGATCACTATTAACTGTTTACATCTTAGCCCATGAAGTAGAGGCCAAAATTCCAAGCCTTTGCTTTAAAAACCTTTGGCTGAAAAAAACCTTCTAAAGATACTATTATATGGTGACCCAAAACAAAGATGTCAAGCAAGCAAAAATTATACGGGTTTGCAAAGCAAAGATGTCAAATAAAAACCAAATACTCAGTACAAGATCTGTTTTTCTTTTTTTTTCCAAAAGCTACAACTAACAATAATTATAAACAGCAAGGCTAAACAAATAGCAAGTTTCACCTTCAGTAGAAGATCAGCCATAAAAACCTCCTTGATTTTAACCATACATACTTGAAGTGAGAAATAGCTTTTGGAAGTGAAGAAAAACATCTGTGAATTTTCCAGAGTAAAAATTATTAAATATAACTATGTGTGACAACAGTAAGTTCAAACAATGAAATCTCATGAAAGGTCAAAATTCTGTCCATAGAAATTACTTGTAATTCAGCTTTGCACCTAACTTTGCCAAGAACAATAAAGATCTCTGATTGTAGCCTTCAATCTTCACCATAATGCAAATCACAGATATGACAAATCAGCAGTTTCAGCAGCAGCAGTTGCAGAATCTCTTCCTCCGCTAAAGCCATCTCACACCTTACCACAACAAAGCTCTATATTTTCCATTTCAAATTGTCTAAATTTGCCTAAAGTGCAGTTCGTATTTCTTCTTCCTTCACTTTTTGAACTTGATACTTTAGCAAAGCCTGGAAAGTATATTTATAATCTCATATCTCAAAAGCCTATAAGATGTATATTGAGGATTTTCATGGTAATTTTGTGCTCCTCATAAAGTGTCTAACAAGAAGTGCATTCATAGAGAATACCCTTTAAAATCAAACTAAGGAAACATAACCAAATATCCAGTGACACAACCTTTAGTAATAGGAGTTGCTGTGGCCTCAGTTCAGTGCTGCAGTAAATGATAGTACAAAGGAAATACACTACATAAATTTCAAATTAAGTCAACAATTAATAAATCAATGACTATGAAGATGTTTATGTTAACATTTTATTTAATTTTCACAGTGAACACGTATGTTTAGCCACCAATAACGTGCATTACAGCTGTACTCAGAAGAACTCCTTATATAACTGCCATATAAAATCATTATCCTTAAAAGAAAGTCTTATGCACAATAGCATGTTTATTAAGCACGTTCTTGGGCAAATGAAAACTGAGCTTAAGTGAAAGATCAGTCCTAAATCTCATGCACCACTAACGTCCCACTTAAACTCCTCTTCCTGGAACCAACATTTCACTTACCGAAAGAGGGAAAGTTCTTTGTAATCTTTCCTAACAGAAGTCTGTTGTGAAGTAAATTAAAGCACACAAGTGATTACATTTTATATGTCTTCAGAAGAATACAAATATAAAAGTCAAGCAAAATGGAAAGCAAAGTGATGCTGCTGAAATCTGGGTATGTTTCATGAAGTATACAGAATACTAAAGACAGAAATGCGAAATTACTGAAGTACACTGGTAGACTGTAGAGTATGGCTTTAGAGTCATCCCTAGGTCAGCTCTGCTACTTTCCCATATAAGTTCTTAACCTCATATTTAGGACTTAAGTCGCAATAATACATCCTTAGTCACCTGGATGAACTAAGAGGTGTCCTGTTCATGATGATGTCTAATGGATTATGCACAGACCACATAGTTATCTTGCATCCTATGTAAACCGCTTAAACTGTTTCACAGAAGTAAAGCTAGTAACTCATTACATCTCAGCATGTGTGTTTAAATCAACACTCTACAAAGACAGTAGTTTGGCATCAGCCTTACTTTTAGCCCCATTCAGAAGGTTCACGTGGTCACTCTGTCTATCATGTAAACAGCTGGCAAAATATATAGCAAGTCTTTGGATCTGCAAAAGTTGCAACACAGACTTCCATTTCACCTTTTCAAACTTATTCTTAGTTACCACTTGGCGAGTGTTTGTTTTTGCTGTCTTGCAGATATCACCGATTTGGTGGTAAACTTTTTTTTTTTTGTATGAGCATCTTCTTTTCTGCGTTTTGCTTTTTCCAGGTTGCTTTTTAGACAAGCATCAGGCGCTGTTCAGCATGCTGTCAACTTGTCTGTCTAACCTTCTGGATTCCTTTACATTGAAAATACCTCTGTGCTCATTCTTTCCTGGTGGACGTTGCATGCTTTGATCCCTTTCATGAACGTTTTCATTCTCTTTCTTTAGTCCTAGATCTCTTTCTCTCAGCAGTTTCATCGGTAAGCCAAAATCCAATGCCTCAACTGAAACATTCAGTTTTCTTTTTAAATGGACTTTTATGCCCTGCTGTCTTGGCTCTAGACTAAAAAAGCTAAGAAAAAAACAAATAAAGCCAAGTGTTCTCTGTACAATCTCACATTTTCTGAAGCCCACAGAATGCTTCAGGTAACTTTTCTCAGCTGCTCCATTATCACTCGTAAAAACAGCTCCTCATCAGGTGGTTTACTGCTGTTCTTTGGCAAGTATTAAATGAGTACTCAGTCCTTGTTTCCATGATTCCTATTTCTATTATTCCATTATTTCATGATATGTTTCTCTGCTAAACAATACAACGTTTTTACAGGCCTGAGCTATTCCTTAATGCCTATTTGCTCTGTTTATGAGATCAGTTTCATTTTCCTATTACTTTCACTCTTCTAGCTGTTAGTCTCAAGTTCAGGTAGTACGGACTGAATGACAACAAAAAAGGTCTCCGCGCTTGCAAAACTAAAAGGAGTTAACAAGAAAGAAAACAGTCAAGAAACATTCTAACAAAAAAAAAAAAATCAAAATCTACCAGATCTATTACATACTGAACAAAGAGTTTAATGCAAGTATATAGTCTCTCCATGTAATAAAGATTTGACAAGAGGCAATAAAAACAAAATGAAATTTTTGTGAAATTATAAAGCAATAATTATAGAACTTAAGTCCTACTCAAAATTTTCTGCAGGTTTTCAGTTTCGAGGAAAAATTTAAGAAAAATGAGATTTAATTTTGCTTTTTCCAGGCGTTCTATTCTTTCTTACCTTTTTCTAAAGTGGATAAAGAAGAACACAAAGCAGAGACAAAAAGGTTCTCGTGGAGGGGGAAAAGACCTCTAATGCAATTTTTTAAAACTCACTGATTTTGATTAAAGAACACCACTATACTACTCCAGAAACCTCTAGTACTACGTGTACAAAACAAGGTGACTCATAAAAAATTCACATTCTTTCTATAATATTTATGTCCATATATAAAGCTTTTATACAAACAGATTTCTAGAGTATGAGAAAATGGTTAAAGAATCTTTTATAATTTTGAGTGTTAAAATAATAGTAAATGCTTTTTCCTAAAATCCTTTCTTTTATATTTTCTGATTTATAAAACGTCCTCCATTGCTTCGTCATTCAACAGTAGACAGAAATTTTTCTTTAAAATCTCATTACTTTCTCTAGTAAAATTGAATTTCATGACATATCTATTTTTAGCACTACTAGTTTGACTTGGTTTTTTCATTAGTGAGAAAAGCCAGCTCGTCCAAAAAAAATCCATCTATGATCTTATTTTTTAAAGATCAGCTGATTTATAAACCACTATGAAACAAAACCATATAAGAAGACCGAGATCAGGCAAGATGTTCATAAGGAAACAATGTTTTATGGTTTCCAGAGATAAAGGCTCTCTTCCCAGTTCTGCCACAAACTTTTTGCATCACCTTGGACAATTCAGTTAAACTGTGTCTCAGCTCCTTACCTACAAAAAAAGAAGAAACTTCTCCGTTTTCTTGGGCTCTTTGAGGAGAAAAGTCATTAGCCTTGGTACACTACAAACTATTATAAAGTTAACGCTGCAGGAACTCTTAAGAACTTATTTTTCACACTGATGAATTGATATTCAAGGTTTCCTAGACGGAGTGCAATACATTCCCATTTAGGAAAATATTAGGATAGCTCTCAGAGGAACATTACTGAATGTAAGACGGTCAAGAGGAAAAGCTGAAAGATCAGTCTCAATGGAAGCAATAAAATTTTTGAGATAGAACGAAGCCATTTACACTGCCAGCAATGAACAACACATTTTAAAAGACAAACAAGCGGTCTTAAAAAAACTATTACACCTGTAATCTGCCCTTGAGACTAAAGAAGGAGCCTTCAGGGTGCCTACAAAAAAAATATCGTTTCTGGTCACAGTCAGCCTTTCTGTATAGCAATGTGATATTCATTCTCCACATTTTTTTAAACTGCTACGTGCACAGTGGATGCTGTGATGTACCACTGAGTACCAGACATGCCTAAGCATGCAGAGCGTGTTT